AGAAAGAAATAAGATGAGGGGGAAAGAGGAGCGAGAAAGAAGTTGAGGCGTCTGTGATCTCCAGACCACAAAAATTAATTTTAGGTACCTCGGCTGCACGACTTGTTGGCTACGTGCAGTAATAAGTTTTTAGAAATTTAAGCAGCGGAATGGGCACAAGTTGCTACGTACTACAGAACTGAAGCTGCTATGTAAGTTTCAGAAGAAAAGTACGTACTATAACTTGATGGAACAAGAATAAAAATGTTAGGACTAGAAATGAAATCAAATCATAGAAAAACATTGCACTTTGAAGGACGAAATGGAAATGATATCTGGCGGGGGAAATTTCATAAGGAAGACAACGAAGTCTTTCAACAAATTAATATTTCACAATAGAAGCATGCAAGTGTGAAGAATAGAAGGATTAATATTTAAGAGGAGAAAATCGAAAGTTGGCAAAAAGAGTAGCAAATTTACAGGGAAGAACGATGACATGAACTTGCGAAAAGGTAGGACAGGACGAAGGGATGGGTCCACATCACGTAAAGGAAAGTAATTGCACAAGAAAAATAAATATGGAAAAACAGGAGGAAATAGAACAGGAAGCTAAGAGGAAACAGAATATTTACCTAATAATAAAGCAAATTGGATTTCTTTCGTCTGTCATGACATTTTTTAGAAAAGTCCCTCTATTTCAGAGAATTCAACCCGCAGTTCTGTTTTAAATTAAAACGAAGCGTTATTTTCGTATTTTACACAAAAGTCCCTGTCTTTTTTTTGAAATCAACCCGCTGTCCGGATTTAAGTCACACCCGAACAGTTATTTTACATTTTTCAAAACCCCCCCTGATGTTTTAGGTAATTCATCCGTGGATCATATTTAAGTCAAACAAATGCTTTTTAAAATCATCCATATTTTTTAAACCGTAACTCCAATTTGAACATGTTATATATGAAATTTGATTAGAAAAATATGTAGAATATGAATATGAGAATATTTTTACCTGTTAAGTATTTTTAAATATTATTTTGAATATATTTGAGTCAAACCAAATGATTTTCTAAATTATCTTTATCTTTTAAACCGTAACTTCGATTTTAACATATTATATATGAAATTTTATTAGAAAAATGTGTGAAATCTAAATATGATGTTAATTTTACCTGTTAAATATTTTTAAAATATTATTATGAAAGCAAATTTATAATTTATAGCGCAAGATCTATTTTTTTCATACCAGCGGCAATCCAGATTGCAAATAAATACCCCACTATAACCATATACAGAAAAGAAAACATCGATAAGTACACGTGCATACCTCTGAAAAATATCGCAAGGGAAAACAACAGATTTCTCATCGCGAGAGTGAGAGAAAGCGAGCGAAAGAGAGAGAGGGGGAGAGAGAGAGAGGGAGAGGGAGAGGGAGGAGAGAGAGAGAGACGCCTTAGGATTAACCATATTCAACACACGCTTTTTATTGTTTTGTGTGAACACCGAGGCCATCGCCGGCGAGAGTGAGAAGGAGGATAAGCGGCAACACAAATATGATGCCTCGCAAAAACAAAGGAGATGAACCTATTATGGTCTTGAGTGATGGTTGTTGAGTTAAGAATGTGTGTTATGTTTTCTCTTCCGTTGCAACGCACAGCCTCTTTTGCTAGTAAGAAAGAAGAAAGAAGATGATGAACGGTGTAAGGAACTCGTCGGACAGGTATGTAACGGAATATGTGATGTAACAGTGGCGAGTCCAGTAACTAGTCTAGGCTTAAACAGGCTCTAGCCTACCCTCAAAAACACGTTTTATTTTTACTACTACACTTCATCTCAGCCCAGCAGCCCAATATAGCAACAGCCAACTGCGAACTGCTAGATGCCCGACTGCTATATGCACATAGCCATTGCGAACAGTAGCAGTGCAGCATATCTCCCTGAGCGAACAGAAGTGCAATCCATTTTATCACAAAAGATGGCTACACTCGCTTAAAACAATCCGAAAATAATACGGTAAATACTACATGTTTTCAATAGTATTATGGAAAACTTTGAGGGCATTTGGACAAATGGGCTAGGAGAGCATCTAGAGCCGGACGCCTCAAATCCGGGTGGACGGTCCGGTCACTGACCGGTCACGAAATTTCGATCCAGACAGGTGCCTCAAACGGACCTCAAACGTCTGGGCCGTCTGGCGCCCCTCATATCCAGCCCAAATATAGGGCGGGTGTGTGGCAGCTCGGGCACGTCCGCCACGTCAGCCTAGCCCACCCCGAGCCCACTCCATTCCCACAAATATCCCCAATCCGGTAACCCTACCTCACTCCGCTCTTGTTTCGTCTCTTCTTCCCCTCCTCCGATTTCTTTGATTTGATCCAGTTCGACGACTCCGGCGAGCATGTCGAGCTCTGGCAGTCGCTCCGTCTCTGACCTCGACATCGACGAGGAGCTGGCCCTCCGCATTGCCCCCGAGAGATCCAAGGTGGACACGGGAGGAGGGCAGTTCCGGAACTGCCTCCTCGCCTCTCCCCCGCCAGCGCTGGCTCCTCCACGGCCCGCGCGCAAACTCGGTTGTGATCTTTTGGTGAACGGATTGTGCATTTGTATGTCCGTTTCTATGTCCGGCTATGATCTATGTAGTTTTTATCAATGTTGCATGTTTAGTATGGATATATGATCGGATATGAGATATGTGGATCTGGACGAGAAATATGAGGACTAAACGGTCAGTACCCGCGGACGCGCCCGGAGGCGGTTGAGGGCCTGAATTTGCCTAGTCCGACTGAAGATGCTCTAAGCAGATATAAAATTTTGTTCAAAAACTCCAGTAAATACTACATGTTTCTAGTAGTATTCTTGGAAGGTTGACAAATGGACTAGGAAATTATGGCTATTTAGCTAAGCAGATCCAAAATTTTGTTCAAAAATTAATATATTTAAAAATCAGAATTTTTTCATTAAATACTACATGTTTCCGGTAGTAATCTGAGAAAATATCAACATTTGGAGAAAGGAATTACGAGACGGAGTTTATTTTCTTCAAACGAACATTTTGTTTTTTTTACGTTAACTTTGAGCCGACCCTCCATTTTCGTCCGGGATTCGCCACTGGGTAGCGTATAATAATGGACCGTGAAAGTATTTGTACAGATTAAATATTAAGAAATTTCATCCATTTTTCAGCCAATTTCCATGAAAACATACGTTTAGATCACGAAGCAAATCGATCGCTCTGTAGATGTTTCTTAGATGCACGCGCCTGGCCTGCGAATTTCATTCTTCTCTAGCTTTGATAGCTTGAAGACCGGGCCAAACTCCCCGAGGCGTGAAGAGTCAGACTCCCAATTAATACCGCCATCATCCTTTCCAGTCCACCATTATTGATATGATTCCTCCGTTCACATCAAGACGTCATTCTCCGCGGAGCAGCCTAAGAGGATGCTTAGATACGTTTTAGTAATGGGACTAAAATTTGCTAGCCTCATCCATGCTTGGATCCAAATACTAAAAGACTAAAATCAAGTTATTAAGCATTTATTATCCTCCAAACCCTCCAATCCAGAACTCGCATGTGTTAAAGGAGAGGAATTAAATGAGGAGAGAGAGGGCTAATACATATTTTAGTAGGTTTTCTGTGACTAAAAAATTTTAGCCTCAAGACTAGTCCTAACCTTTCTTTACTAAGGGGTGCTTGAAACTTTAGCCTCTAAAATAGACTTTTTTTAGTCAGACTAAAAATAGTCTCCTGCATCCAAGCACCCTCTGAACAACCCCCGTTAGCGCTAATCTACTCAGCAGCAGTCAGCAGCAGTGACCACTAAACCAACTAAAACCAAGAGACAGAAGAGCTCAACCACCGCACGCCTTTCGGCTGGGCAGCCCTCGTCTGACCGCGCCGCGTCGCTGTCCGGCTTTCCCCCTTTCGGTACGCCGCCCCGTCGTGGCCTCGCCACCGGCCACCGCCCACTTGCCCCCGCTTTCGGTTTTGGCTCGTTTCGGCGGTGGGGAGAATATATCTCCCTGCCACCTTTCCGCCTCATCATTTTGCTCCTCCTCCTGATGCTGCTCTGCTTAGCCTTAAGCCAGCCGCCCGCCCGCCACCCCCTTCCTTTTTGGCTCTGCTCCGGCCATCGTCGCAGATCGGGATCTCTCACGGCGTGCTGATTATCGGCTTGGATCGACAGGCGAGGTTCTAATTCTATCTCTGCTCCTCCTGTGATTTCCTTCTGTGGCTGACCCGTGATTTGAGCTTAGTTTGCTTCCTGGGACTGTGCCTTGCAAGGAAGCAACTCTTGCTTACCGTGTTGTTCCTTTTATTCTTAGTTTTAAGCTCGTGGCTTATTTGCTTTGATTCTGTACGCATCCTAGATTCCTGGTAGTTATTTTCTATTGGGGATTTGGGAGCTGAGACGGTAGGATTTCACCCACAGCTTTGAGGAAAAGTTGGTATCACTGTTAGAATCCCATTATGCCAAGTGGATTTCGTTGCCGGAGTATGGTGTGTTATTGCCGGAGTTTAGTTGCTCAGCTCTCAGCAAGTTTCAGCTCACTACAAGGATCATCTGTCCTGCGTAATTTATTCTTGGTCTAGTGTATCTGCGATTGCCAATTAGCCACTGTAGTTGCCTAGTGGGTGCCCGACACTTGCTGCTATCAATTGCTTTTCCAACCTGGCATTCGGTCTCTCCCTCCAGCTAAGACTGGCTTTATACTTCACCAATCCTGCCTATATCGCTGCAATGACACTACCATCATTATTTTCCCGTTCATCTTCTCAATGATAAGGCAAAGGCTTTATCGTACCGAATTCTGATGTCTCTAGGTTACAGGTTACAGCTTCAATGAAGTCTTGTTACTTTTATCACCAAGCGGAATAACTGTAACACTGAAGTAAATTCCCACTTTGCTGATTACTAACCTTTGCTTTGACTTCTTGTAGCGATCCTGCTTCAACACCAACCACCTCTGACCATCTAAACAGCGTGTTGGACCAACTGTCGTGAAGATTCGAGTATACTGTTGGACAATGGGAACAAGGATGACAGTCCTGCGGCGATTGCCCGTCGCACTGTCCTCGGCATTGCTCGAGTGGATCTTGATGCTTCTGCTATTCATCGACGCAGTTTACTCCTTCCTCATCACCAGATTTGCCCGTCTCTGCAAACTACCGGTACCTTGTCCGTTCTGCTCGAGGCTAGATCATGTCCTCGGTAACGAGGAACCGTGCTTCTACAGGGAATTGATCTGCAAAACTCACAAGTCAGAGCTCTCATCTTTGGCCTTCTGCCGCCTCCACCAGAAACTTGTGGGCGCGGAAAGTATGTGTGATGGATGCAGCAGTAGCTCACTTGCTCCAAAAGTGACACCAAACAACAATGACAACACAGATGAGCCCACCGTGGATGTCAATGTACTCAACGGTACTCAGGGGGGTGATGGTGTGTTACATTCTCCTCTTACTAGAATTTGTTCATGTTGTGCACAACATTTTGAACAACGGAGTGTATCGCTGTTTTCTCAGAAGAGTGGAGAGCTCCAATATGCCAAGTCACCAAAGATTTGCACGGATTATCCTGTATCATGGCAACTGGACGAATCAATTGAAACCAAAGACATTTACCACCAGAGTGATCATACATATCATGAGAGATACAGTGCTCTACAGATGACATCTGACTCCGAGGTTGAGGTTCCTTGTGCTGATGATGGCAGAGATTCTCACCCTCATGAAGCCTATGATATGGAAAATAGAGACTTTCAAGAAGATGCAGTTTTTGAGATACCAGGTGTTCCATCCCCTGCGGTGGCCAAGCCATCTGAAATGAATGTTCAGGAAGAACAAAAAGTGACTGACTCCGGTGATGCATGTTCGGCAGATCATGTTCGGAATTATGACCCTGACAGTGTGATTAGTGGGAGCCAAATGGAAGCAGAGGACATCTCGTCCAGAAGACGAGCATCACAGCATGGCCCTCTAATTGCCATTGAAGAGTTATCTTTAGAAGGTAAATCATATTTCCCAACCTGGATAACTTCCACTATTTCCACTTTTTTTTATGTTGACAGATCCTATAATTGCATGGATAATTGTGCAGATGCCACTGTTCCCCAAATTCCAGTTGCATCAGTTGATGAGTTACCTAAGATTATTTGTGAAACTGAATCATGTCAGAGGACGAATGACAGCAGCATCGATCCATATACATCTCAATTCACAATACTCGAACAACACTATGCTGTTGCAGCGGATAAAAATATAAAAGGTATGGTATCCTGATAATAATTCATAACCAAATGAAGGACATTTTGTTTCTATTCATCGAACCACCATGACACAACAAATAATTGTTAATATGATCCAGAAGAAGCTCAGGGGACAGAAATCACTGCGATATCAAGTGACGTATTTCACCAGAGAAGCACATTGGCTAATAATCCAGTTACAAGTGAACCAGTACCCAAGGACTATCATTATGTTGCTTCAGAAGATACATATCCGAAAGGTTTCTTAGTTTTGTCTCTCTTTCTCCACTGTAGCATCCACGTATCTATATTAACTGAATCTCGGGATTCATTTCTACTCTCTTTCAGATAATTTCAGGGATGTCCCCGTTTCACAGGTTAGTGCCGATTCAGAAACTCTTGCTGAAGTTGAAGATAATCCTAAAAAAGCTGAATGGACTGGTGATACCGGAATAGATGGACTGACATCACATGATCCTTCCAGTTCAACTTCCAAAGATTTGTTAGCAAAAGGTTTGTTCGTTTGTACCTTCCATCCAGCACAGTATTTTAAATGTGGTCCTTATATTTAACCATTTTGATCAGATGCTAAAGAGACTCATATTCCACCAGTTGCTGTCAGATCAAATGGTGAGGTATCTCAGGGTCTTGATGCCATTGAGGAACATCCCCAGACAATTGAAACGGTTGGTGAAAGGAGACCATCTCTTAGCACTCAGATTAGCATGAACGAGGCCTACAATCTCGCCATTGGCATGAGGAGTGGTTTCCCATCCCCAACCTTGACCGATGTGATTCTTGGAAAGGGCTCTTCAGCTAGTGTAAATGGAGAACTGAGGCTACTGCTATCACAGCTTTCAGCTTCCAGGGGGCTCGAGGCAACTTGGCTTGACCCAGGCCCTAGCCCACGAGCGTATGGGCGTGGTGATGATTTGATACTGCAGAACATAACAAGAAGGATCTCGCTCGAGAGAAATGTTTCTGGTCTGGAATCGCTGGACGGAAGCATTGTTAGCGAGATGGAAGGTGAGAGCACCATCGACCGGCTGAGACGACAGATTGATCTAGACCGGAAGTCGATACACCTCCTCTGCAGGGAGCTGGAAGAAGAGAGGAACGCCGCGGCGATCGCTGCAAACCAAGCACTGGCCATGATCACCAGGCTGCAGGATGAGAAGGCTGCAATGCAGATGGAAGCCTCTCATTACCAGAGGATGATGGAGGAGCAAGCAGAGTACGATGGCGAAGCGCTTGCTGAAGCTAACGAGCTGCTTGCTCAGAGAGAACATCAAATACAGGAATTGGAAGCCGAGCTTCAAAAGTGCAGGACACAACCTGGAGGTGGAGGGCCAATAAAGGAACAAGATGATCAGCTCCCCTTTGAAGAACAAAATAGCACTGCAGCTTTGCTTGAAGATGAGAGGGCATACATATCAGAAAGTTTGAGGAAGCTGGAGAAGAAGCTTCACTTGTACTCCAACAACGATACTTCTACAGATTTATCAAATTCAGATGCTACAGAGGAGACACAAGAGTCCATTCTCTTGGCTAAGGAAGGTCAATCTTCTAGAATGGATGGGGAAGCTGACCTATCCACATTCCAAGAGGAAATCTCGAGCTTGAATAAAAGATTGAAGACTCTAGAAGGAGACCGGGATTTCCTCGAGCACAGCATAAACTCCCTTAAGAATGGAAAAGAAGGCGCGCAATTCATAAGGGAAATTGCCTGCAACCTCAGAGAACTCCGAGCTATTGCCATTGAGAGCAAATAGCATTGTGGATTTTAGCTCTTCACACAAAACCTCTTCGTGCATCAGATTCCCACCCAACTTGTACATTGTATATTTTTGTGCTCCAAAAGAAAAGAAATAGTTTTTAGGTTGCTACATCTAGGAACTTTGTTTTTGGCTATTGAGGGAGATTTTACACAAAAGAACTTGGCAAGTATACTGGCATGTGTTTCTTTTCTTTTCTTTGTGAGACGAGTCAGTTTGTCTTGGATATGGACATAGTAGTGGGTAACAACATACCAAGTGGCCTACTGATTTTGTTATAAACAAGTGATCAGTACTTGGTACTGAACAGGAAGTGTGTGTGTGTGTGTGTGTGTGTGTGTGTGTGTGTGTGTGTGTGTAACCTGGTTGAGACTTGTGACTTCTATAGTATCTACAATTCTGTCTAAGTTCCATGATCCTGGCATCCTACCAAAGATGTGCAGGTGCTGCAAAATCACATCACTTATTACCTTGGTTCCTAACAGCTCTCTGTCGGCGACAAAACCCCATGTTCGATTCGTTAGCTGCAGTCATATAACAGTAAGACAGAACAAAGCAAAACAGAGAATAAGGGAAGAAACATATAAGCACTCTGACAATCAGTTAATAGACTAAACTGCAACACTTTACATAATGTATCCTTTTTTCTTCTCTCCTTTTGGAATGAGAAGGAGAATGAGAAGTTACGGTTGAGCAGACCTTGGACCTGCACCATGTTCGGTTACAACTTACAAGCAGATTCATTATGGAAATTGGTGTAAAACAAGCATCACCATTGACCGTTGGCACGGCGATACATGTATTCCTCATTCGTTCTCCCACTTGCATAATTGGTGTAGTCCCCCATCTGCTGCGAAAACCCGTTAACTCCAGGATTCACCATTGGATTAGGATAGCTATACAGCCAAGGCTTGGATGAAAAGGAGTCGGCCATTCCATTGGAATAAGCACCCAATGTGGAAAATTGCCCCTCTCCCAGCCTGTGTAGAGCATTCAGCCTGTCATAGTAATGGCCGTTCAAGTTCAACTGGCCAGAACTACTTGACGAAGTCATGTCAGCCTCTGTGAAGTTGCCTCCCGGAGAAAATGGCAAGCCGAATGGATGGTATTCATGGATAGGAGGCTCTGCCATGCTCACATTGCTTTGTTCCTCCTCAAGTAAGTCATTGATGATGCCAAGATGCGGGAATTCCTCCCCCACTGAACCCTGCAGCTGGTGTGAGTCAAAATTTGTAGGAATCTCATTCTCGAACTGCCTATGTTGAATTCCCCCAAATCTGCCTTGTTCTTCTGTTCCACTGTTGCTTGCTTGCTGATAAGAATTGTCACTCCATGGGAGTATGCGCGCATCACCATTGGTCATCTGTTGGTATGTAGTATCATCCCTCAGCATGTGTTCTTTAGCATCACTGATACCTTTCCATGGGTGCCAGCTATCAAGGGTATCCAAATTGCCCTGCCCAGACATGAATCCTTGATTACCGGGTAACTGGCCATTCCTTCCAACAGGAGGCAACATGGCAGATGTTCCCAATGCATATGCTGATAGTGGCTGCGAAATCGCATTGCTTTGGCCTGGAGAGGTTACCTTATCAGAACTTGACAAGGTAGTATCAAGACTACCCTTACCGATGATGGCATTTCGGTAGGACTGCGGTACGTAACTTGGCACAGGAGCAGAGGGCTCGTTGCTGGATCGTCTAGATGCAGTCAACGAACGTGACTGTGATGGGGGAACTTGAGCTCCGGGTATGGGTGGCAAAGTTGACCTTGGTGCCTGGAACAGAGGAGCACTTGAAGGCCTTGATACTGCAGTAGAAGTTCGCGGAACAGAAGTGCCAACAATCTTTTTGGGAACTGCACTTTTTCGAGCTTCTGAATAAGACACCGAAGGCAACTGTCGTGGTGCTGCATTAGGTGGCGCGACCTTATTAACCTGAGGTGCAGGTGATTTTGACAGAGCTGGAATAGCTTTAGCAACTTTTTCAACCTGTGGTGTAGGTGACTTCACGGGAACTGGAGCAGCTTTAGTAACCTTATTAGACTGTGCAGATGGTTTTGGGGGGGCTGGAATACCTTTTGCGGCCTTAGCAACCCATGGTGTAGACGATTGGGGGGGAACTGGAATAGCTTTGTTTGCTAGCGACAAGGTTGAAGGAAGTGTAGCAGCTTTATCAACTGGCAGCGATCTTGGGGTGACTGAAGTAGCTCTATCTATTTTCAGATTCAAAGCTGGTTTGACCTTACTTGGAGCAACAGCAGGTCCAGATTTTGTGCTTACGGTGGTTTTGGGCGTTGCTGGAATGGCTCCGTTAGCACCATTGGTGATTACAGGTTGAGAATGAGGTGGTGCATACATACTTGCATCAGGACTAGTCACGGAAGGTTGCTCTGGTCTGTTCACAACATTAGGAGTCTTATCCAAAGAACTGGATGAGGATGATGAGGACACTGCCTCAGCTGCTGCTTTCTTTTCCAAATGTCCCTCTAGTTTCCTGCCCTCATTTTCCTTCTGAAACATGCATAAATGGAAACAGGCTTATCAACCTTTTGCAGTACAAAAACAAAGTAAAGAAACAACTCATTGAAGTGTTACATAGGAACCAATGGTTAAATATATTGGAATTTTACTATGAAATGACTAGAAAGATCTCAAACAAAATTCTGACTCAAGAAGTGAATCCCAATAAGTACTCCCTCAAAAAGGACTGCAAAATTAGATGACTTGTGTTTTGAAATCGTTTACATTTACCCACATGCAGAACTTCCACTAAATGTAAATAGTATGAAAAAGGACAAAGTTTGTTGAGCAAATTAGTTGTCTTATAAGAGATTTTGGATTTTTATTTGGTGACATGAACTAACATGCAAACTGGCTATTTTTTATTCAAAGATTTTGCCCACAGTTCATGCGATCATTCGTATAAAGAAAAGAGGAGAAATTCCAAGAGTAATACAAGCCTAGCTAAAACATATCCATGATCTTTACTGTATCTTATAAATGGGAACTGGTGTCATGCTGTTCGTCACGCCTTCGACCTCCCAGTTACTAAAAATCTCAAACAAAATATAATAAATTAACTAACTAAAATACAATTTAGCACCCAAAGAAACTAACTCAACCAACTCCCAGAAAATCTCTAAAAAATGGAGATGACAGGGAGCACAAACGCAGAGCATGACACTAAGCCAAAAATAATTTTTTAATGTGATCATTATTAATTTTGTTAATCGTAGCAAAGCACAGGCTTAGCTATATAGGAGTACTAGGAATAGCTGTCTGGTGAATGTTACTGCAATTTAATTGTGTAACCATTCAAACTCCGATACAATACTTATAGCAAAACATGTTGCCAATTTTTACAAAATCATACCGTGCAAACATTAAGCTACTATCAATAGCCTCCAGATTAAAAAAAAAAAACTACTCCCTGCGTTCCTAAATATAAGACCTTTTAGAGATTCCAATATGGACTACATACGGAGCAAAATGAGTGAATCTACACTCTAAAATATGTCTATATACATCCGTATGTAGTCCATATTGAAATCTCTAAAGGGGCTTGTATTTAGAAACGGAGGGAGTACGAACTAATGATAAGCCATATGTTTAGTACAAAACTAAGGATAATTATCAAATGATTAAGATGACCATTTGCACAACTAGGATTAGTCAATGACTACTAAAAAACTGGTAAGAAAGTAATGCCCAATACTGCTTAATGAAAACTATTCTGACCTCATGTAGGCGTTGCCCAAGCTTCCGAAGCCTATCTTTTAAGGTGGTTAGAACAGTCTCCTGGTCAGGCTTTGGTGCTGGTCCACAGCCAGATGTATTGCGGTCTGAACCACCAGTAGTGCTAGAGGGGAGATCATCCTCATCTTTGGGAACGTTCTTGCTGCTTATGACCCTCGTCCGTGGAGTTTTCCCTCTGTACATAGATTCAATTAAAGACGCTGCGAATGCCATGCTAAGAGAAGCGATAAAACTTGAGATAGTGCTAACCAACCTATGAAGTGATTTCTGACTAGAACTGTCTAGCAAGTTATTTTTTTTGCCTTGCATAATGTTCATAGTAGCAGATTCTGATAAACACGGCAGTGGCTTGTGCTCCACGGTAGAGTTCTTCCCAGTATGCACATTTTTCATCTCAATACCAACATCATTCACCCCATTCACAGGTTGTGAAATTTTGTCACCTGCATCAGTTTGACATACCTCAGCTGACCCATCTAAATTGTCTGAGATGTCTGAAGCACCTTCTTCGGAGGTATCAACTTTCATGGCTACTTGTCCTGCCTGCTTAGAATCCTCACTATCATGAATTGTGCTTTCATCTTGATCCTTCTCTGCAAAATTTGAATCAGATTTTTCCTCTCTATCCTTGTCTTTAACCTTCCGATTGTTCTTTTTTTGTTTGGCCTGGAAAAGGTAATTCAAGATTATGCAAGTGAAAAATCCAACTAAGTAAAGAGATGAGGCAAAATCCAACTAATTCTTATCCTAGTAACGTATTCACAAGAACAGCTTCTGCAGCTTGAATGTCTCAACAAAATCTGGAAGTAAATTCAGAAGAAAATAAGACTAGCATGAAATGATCAATTAAACAAAATAAAGAGTTACTAGTCAAACTGGACCATGCATGTTTAGGCTCAACAGAGAAGTTTAACATTTGTCAATTATGCATAAATTGATGCCAGAATTTCAGGTGTGTGCTTAGAACAGGCATGTGGTCATTAGCTCACAATGACGATTCAACGATTTATGCTTTTTACAAGGAAAATAGTAAAATGCCATACGGAAGCAGCAAATTTCAACTTAGAAATAGGGGCAACTTGTTTTTGTTTCATATTCCAGCCCGTAAATCTTGTTAATTTGGATCAGTCCCAGCACGAAACACTACTGGCCGCTCGTTCGTAACAGGGGAGAAGAGATGCGAGCTCAACCAAAGCTTGGAACTCTTAACTGGAAAATAACCATAACAGCAAGCCAACCAAAAACAAAACGATACAATATAGTGAAAAACAAGAATAATCATTCGAAGAATCCAACAGTAAATTTGCTTTCAATATGTCAAGTGGTTGGGCATTCTTCCCGTTCAAACTTGTTCAAGTAAACTAAAACCAAAGAAAAGCTGTCGTTATCTCACCCTGCTACCTGCTATGGGCCATTCAATGTAAGTTTTTTTTTTGAACCAGTGTCAATGCAAGGAATTAAAAAGAGGGGATGTGTGCTGAACAACAGTAAGAGTGTGACCTGTTTTTTCTTTGCACGCTTCTCCTTTTCAGTGGTATTGTTGCGCTTCCCCTTCATCTCACTTTCAAGGAGCCCAGCTTCTTCCTCTTCACGAATAAGCTCTTCTTGCCTCTTCAAAGAGACAGCTTCTTGATAAGCGACCTCAATCCCACTAACACAAAAACAAAACAGAAGTGATGCAAAGCACACAACGTTATCTAGTGCAAATATCAAAGATATGAGACTACATCCTTATATTTCTAAGCAGAACTAAAGGACAGGCTCAAATTTGCTGTAAAAAATAATTTATTCAGTTTTCCTAAGATTTTAGAGGTATATCTCAATGCAAAATAGCAGCAAAAATTTCATGATTACTCAGCAATGATATGACTTACAGGTACAGTTTCAATGCTAAACAGCAGGAAATCATTGAACAATTTAATAGTTACTCAGCAACGTAAAAACTTTAATGCAGGGACCACATAAATCATCGAGTTGATCAAGGACTGCACACATGATGGTACTAACAAATCACACATAGGAAGACATAGCAAAGGCAATAAATTGTTGTCCAAAGTAATGATATCGACCAAGTAACCTAATCAGGCGGAGGTTACAAGATGGAAATAGATAAACCTTTTACCTAAATATATGAGACAGAACAAATGTTTCAAGTATCTTCTGACCAAACTCAGTTAGGCGCTTTTCTTCATGCTCAATTGAAACTTTAACTTCGCCAGAATTACCAGCCTACAAAGATGATAACAATGAAAAATTAGCAGCATGACAATAATTATACTGCAGAAAATAAAAGTAACGCTTGCAACCACCAAACATAATATAACTAATTAGCACACTAATGAGTCTAGAAACAAATAGGAATATACTGGGGTAGTCTTTAGAAATGCATTCATTCGGATAAACCGGGTTGGGCGGCTTAATAATATAACCAGATAATTGCACTTAGGTACTGTCTACCAATATCAAGTGTGGTGCATTTTCCACTGATTGCAGCATAAGCTTATCTGGCCAGCTAAACCAAATGACCATATAAGAACAATTGGAATCGATATAGCTCATCTAAAAATTCTGCGGCCTGTTTCAACCAAGAACCTCCATTGCAAATGGAAGATTCAAGAAAATAAACTCCGGATGGGGACGGGAAACTTCATTATGCAAAAGGATGTCTGAAAATTAACAAAAACAATCATGTTGACTGGGGAACAAGGGAAGAATCACAGCATAGGATATAGCAGACAAATTCTGAGCTAAAAGAAGCTAATTCCATGTCATTGCGGCCAAATAATAGAAATACCAAGGATAGGAAAACGGCGTCATAGGAGAATTCATAGTTGGAGGTATAGGGGGGGCCTAAATTACCGTAAAAACCTAAAAATTGCACTAATAAATCAATACACCAATACTACCTTAGTGCGGCTCTGGGAACATTTGTCATCCTTTGGAGATAGAGGTTGACAAGGCAAGGGTTCTAAAGCTGCCCTCTCAAGCAAAGCTAGGACATCACCAGCTAAAGCAAATGTGTCCATGTCAACATGGACCATAGGCGCAGATAACTCCTCCAAGTCCATTAATTTTCCTCTACCTTTCTTTCCCCTGCACTGGTGCTCAAGTGCCTTCAGCCCCGTATGCAGGGAGTCCATAACTAGTGTTGAAGTGACTTCTTTCTCTACGAAGAAATGCTTCACAATTATTTTCAATATGACGTCACTCTTCTCTCTGGACATGCGATATCTTGTGCTTGTGTCAATTGCAAGCCAGAAAGCACAAAAACTGCAACACCAAGGAAGAATGCATTGCAATTAAAGTTACAAATATTTAACTATTCACAAGATGACAACATATAAAATTCTAGAAGTAACTGACTAACCCGGACCATCTCATTTTGTCCTCAATGAGATTGCTAAGTTTACTTCTGTGTTCTTCAACAAAGCGACGGTAAATTTGCTCTATATTTGTCATATAGACACGGAGTAATTCTCGTCGATAAGGACGCTCAAGGCAACGAAATGGGCGGTCCACTTTCTCCCTCCATTTGATAAAAAAGACAGAGGAAAGGAGTTACATAATGTTTTGCGATCAATTAATGCTGAGAAAATTAGAGACAATGGCTAGAGTACGATTCTCAGTATATCCAAATGGCCGACCACATAATAGTAGGCATATATTAAACAATACAAAGTGACTTGACAGACTGAACATAAGAAGTAACTCTGGATACTACAATCAGAAACAGTCCAACAAGGTTTCTACATGCATGCATGAGCAATATGCAACTACAACCTCTAACAGGACCAGGATAAAATTAGGGCATACAAGATCACAACATAACATTAAAAGTTTAATTATCTAGAAGAGCATCAAATGCTAACAAAAACAATTAAACTCAAGTGTGCAGTGTGAACAATCAAATTAAAGACTTTCAGTACTGCCAAAGTAGGAAAAACTGTTCGAAGCATCAATCCTGAAAATTCAATACTACCTAATAACTTGAACTTGGGCTATGATTTCGAGAACATCATTAACAAGAAAACCATCTTGGATCTTTGACAACTCCATGAACTTCTTCCATCCCCAATCATGCTCCTTCTTCCAGAATTTGTGCAAGGTGTCTGCAAAATTACTTAGTTAACCCCTAATTGGTTATTAGCTCCATGGAGAAAAAACCACCATCAATCTTTACCAGAATATTTAACTTTCTTAGGGTCGAGATTGCCAACAGCTATGGTGAACTGTGCAAACTGGCTCCATCCTGAAAGTATCAAGCCAGTGACTGAAAAATAAGTTTGGGGACAAAATATTACTTAGGCGACATGGTAAAACAATAACACCAAACCTGGAAGGAGTTTGTCATGATCAGCAACACATAGAAACAATGACAAGTGATTGGAGACATCACACCCTTGAGGGTAAACTAGAATGTACCTACAAAAAATAAAGATCGCATACTAAGGTATCAACATATGATAATGATATAGCATGCCATAAGGGAATAAAGCTGGTTTAAAACTTTGCATCACTAACTGGCTAAAGGGTCTTGCGAGTATGAAAATTACAAGAATAGAGAAGAAAAAAATTTGGAGTGCAAAAATTGTCTACTACTCCCTCCATTCCATAATACTTGTCATGGTTTTAGTTCAATGCTGGGAAGAGGTGAAACACAACGAAAAACACTTTTAAAATAGCTGCACTGGAAGGTAGTATGTTATACATCAATCAGTGTCATGCCTAATGCTAGCAAAGATGTACCACAACCATAAGAAATTTAACAAACAGAAACCATTGAGATACACAAAGCTTTTCAACACAACAGAGAGATTCAAGCTATAGATCAACCTTCTTTGTATCAGACATCAACAGTAATTACAAGCTTTAACTATACACAGCTGGTTCCTTACAGATACTCAAAGCTTTCTTTTCAGGACTCAGTGAACAATTAAGCATGTGTACAATCAAAATGAAGATTCTAGCACCATGCTCAATATAATAATGACTAGCCCACTAACAACGAGGGAACTAGAGTTTAAACACCATTATGAAAGATTTGACAGGCAACAGGCTCTTAGTTACAGCACTGTCAAGAAAAAAACATGAGCCAGAAAGCACTGTATACTAGCAATCAACAATATTCAAGTTAAGAAAGTCCAATGATACTTGTGAATCCATGATAGGACATAAAAAGGAATAATAAACCAGACACATTTCAATCTTGGTTCATCATCAGACCCAAAAAGAAGTGGGGAAGAGAAATATAATAACACCATTATTTTAATTAACCATTAGGAACCTACCACTTAAAACCACCAGCTTCAAATGGTTCACTTTTCATTTCTCTCTTCTTCTCCTTTGAGAAGTTCTGAATTCTCCAAGTATGTCGCCCGAATAAATTTGAAGGACAGGGCCCTGAGATAATAACATCAGCTAAATGAAAACGTAGCCACAGTTACCACTGAAAAAATTACTACCACAAATGCCTACCTATCTTATACAATAATGAAAAAGCATATGAGGCTAAGAAAGTCTATTGCTCACCAGGATCATCATCTTCGCCATCAGTGTCCCAGAAGGGAGGGGACGTCGACGGGCTCCCATTGTCGACCTGGTCACAGGACCGCCATTCAGACATGGAATCACCGGACACACTCTGATCATCATCCCCCAACGCATCACCTAACATGGCTCCAGACTTCAAGGATTTGACAAAGAGGTCGAGCTTCAGCTTCGCTACAACTGTGCAACAAAACAATAGAATTATGAATTCAGGCTGAACCCAACACCAATAGTACCTCAAAACGAAAAACTCTAACAAACGTGTACTGAACCATCAAGGCTCCTGGTAAAGCCAGATTAACCCGGTTCAGGGGCACTCTGCCACCGAATTTTACTGACAGATAGACAGGTCGTATCTAAAAGCAGATGGAAAAAACCTAGCACGCCTTCCCATCAGCCAAGGAGAATTCACTCACGACTCGTAATCCGCAATCGCCGACCAAACAGGTCGGAACCTAACCCTCGAACCCTAACCCCCAGTCCCCACGGGCATCCGCCGCAAGCGTTGCAACTGCGCGCCGGCGACCGGTGGGCGGTGGGGGGGCGCCGATCCGGTGGACTCCAGGGGCGGCCTAGGCCTTTACCTGCGTCAGCTGGCCACAACGGCGAGCCGAGAAAGTGTTGTGGCGGCGGCGGCGGTGGCGGCGGCGCGACGAAATGGGCAGACAGGAGACAGGGAGGGGGAGAAAGAAAGTGACGAGAATATTTGGATTGGGGAATTTATATATATCGGCGACGAGGGATGAGGCGTGCGATGTGTCCCGTTCTTCCTCACACTCACAGAGGTCCGGTACGAATTTCCAGAGCGGAGGAGGGGAAAAAAAAGATCCGGCTTGCCTGCTCCTTCTCCATGCTCCCATCCGTGCTCCCACTTCATCCTACGTCTGTCTTTTTTTCTTTTCTTTTTCTAATCTAATCATCCCCTGATTTTAAGGGGGTGGGGCCAGGCCTTATTTTATTCCAATCAAATTAAGCCACGTACGCGGGAGTACGGATGGGCACACGCGAGGGGAGCAGGCAAGTCTCGTCCGGAAAAAAAGGGCCAGGTACTCTTTTTCTGACCCGAGATGCGGCGCGCCCGTGCGGCGGACCACGGATTGTTGGGCAATTTTGGGGACCGACCAGAGGCGGAGGCCAGAAAGCCGGAGGGGGCAAATTGGACTTTCAGATCACATCCAAGGGGGCTTTGAGCCATGCGCCGGGAAAGCCCATCCCAAACTTTCCACAAACGCTTCAACAAATTACCAAACTTTGATCTACATCTGCCGACCAAAACTTACTGGATTCCGATTAGATTGTACCTTTTTTGTCCTTCCTCCCCCAGTGAGAATTGTCGCAGCAACAAGGGCAAGAAGAACTTGAAGTTGACTGCGCGACGCGCCTCAATGGTACGCGGCGGACGCCAGTGCCGCGTGGTCCAGGGGCCCCGGCCATGGAGTCGCCTAGATCCGCCGACGATGTTGGTCGTAGGCCTAGCGGCGGATCTTGTTTTTGTTACGGTCGGCGGTGTGGTTCTGGATCGCTTGGTTTGGACGGGGCGAGACCTAAGCGGCGGCGGCGGCGGAAGAGGATTGTAATGGCGATTAGGAGTGGAGAAGGCGTCAGGAGAGCTAATGACGACGGAGGGGACAAATCGAAAGGGAAAGAATCACGAGGGCGGGGCACACATCCCAACCGACGCCGTATATATAGGCGTCGATGCGATGTTTTTTGGGAAGATATTTATTTTCGAATGAAGATATTGTTTATTAATTTGCCTTATGATTGCGTTATTAGAAACGCGGATATACATATTGAGAATAAATATCGTGAAGTATCAACGGATACTTTTGTGACTTCTTTCAAGGACGAGGGGATATCAGTAGAATTGAAACCCGATAACAGTGAGACATGTGAGTAACAGTGGGTCATGCCAATATGACCAAACAATTAGATGTGTAACAGTGAGTAAGGATACTTTGTCAGAGGAGAATGTCGTGCGAATGTGCCACGGACCGAGTCACAAGTGCATAGGGACTCCAGAGCCTTGTGTCACGTCGCACCCGAGTAGGCACTCGAAGGGGGGGGTGACATGTCCACGATTTGACTGTTATGGGAGATGTGTTCCATGTAACGGCGGGATCCTAGTAGCCCCGAACATAACTACCAAACTACATGCATATGTGTCACACGCCAATTCGGTACCGTGCAATAAGTATGTGAGTTCTTTACGACTAATGTGAGTTCTTTACGACTTGAGATGTGGTGCAAACTTCGCCGGTGCATCCAAACCCCGTGATATGATATGCTCTATCACACATAAGCCTCCTTATATCTTCCTCAAAACAGCCACCATACCTACCTATTATAACATTTCCATAGTCATTCTGAAATATATTGTCATGCAACTTCCACTGTTTCGTTTTTATGACACACATCATCATTGTCACATTGCTTTGCATGATCATATAGCTGACATAGTATTTGTGGCTTAGCCACCATTCATCATTTTTTATACATGTTACGCTAGATCATTGCACATTCTGGTACACCGGCAAAGGCATTCATATGAAATCATATTTTGTTCTAGTGTTGAGTTGTAATTTTGAGTTGTAAGTAAATAGAAGTGTGATGATCATCATATTCATTATTGGAGCATTGTCCCATGTAAGGAAATAAAAGAAGAGGCCAAAAAGAGCCCAACAAAAAAAGAGAAAAAGAGAGAGAAAAAGGGAGAAGGGGCATTTACTATACTTTTCACACTTGTGCTTCAAGTAGCACCATGTTTTTCATATAGAGAATCTCCAATGATTTCATTTTTTATATAACTAGTGGGAATTTTTTATTATAGAACTTGGGTTGTATATTTCAATGATGGACTTCCTCAAATGCCCGAGCTCTTCATGAGTGAGCAAGTTGGATGCACACCCACTTAGTTTTCTTTTTGAGCTTTCATAACTTGCATTGACATCAATTGATGGGCATCTCCATAGCCAACCCTACTCCTTGCATTGACATCTCCGAGCTCTTAGTGCATCTGTTGCATGTCAATCCCTACTCCTTGCATTGACATCAATTGATGGGCATCTCCATAGCCCGTTGATTAGCCTCGTCAATGTGAGACTTCCTTTTTTGTCTTCTCCATATTATCTCTACCATCATACTCTATACCACCCATAGTGCTATATCCATGGCTTGCGCCCATGTATTGCGCGAGGGTTGAAAATGTTGAAGCGCGTTAAAAAGTATGAACCAATTGCTTGGCTAACACCGGGATAGTGCATGATTTATATTTTGTTAAGAAGATGGAGCATAACAAGACTATATGATTTTGTAGGGATAATGTTTTTTAGCAATCATATTTTGAAAGGCATGATTGTTTATTGGTATGCCTTATTATTATTCTTTTTATGTCACATTATAGACTATTGCTTTGAATCATTCAGATCTTAATATTCATGCCACAAAAGAGAGATTACATGATGAACATGTTAGGTAGCATTCCACATCAAAAACATTTGCCTACCCGAGGACGACCAGGAATTAAGCTTGGGAATGATTGATACGTCTCCAACGTATCTATAATTTTTTATTGTTCCATGCTATTATAGTATCAATCTTGGATGTTTTATATGCAATTATACATCATTTTTTGGGACTAACCTATTAACTTAGTGTCAAGTGCCAGTTGTTGTTTTTTGCGTGTGTTAGGTTTTCCAGGAAATTAGTACCAAACGAAGTACAAATGCCACGAAACTTTTTGACGATTTTTTTTCTGGACATAAGAGACACTAGAAACTTCGGGATGAAGTTAGAAGATGATGACCCACAAGTATAGGGGATCTATCGTAGTCCTTCTGATAAGTAAGAGTGTCAAACCCAACAAGGAGCAGAAGGAATTTTTAGCAAGGTATTCTTTGCAAACACTGAAATTATCGGTAACAGATAGTTGTGTGATAAGATATATCGTAACGAGTAACAAGTAACAAAAGTAACTAAGGTGCAGTAAGGTGGCCCGATCCTTTTTGTAGCAAAGGACAAGCTTGAACGAACTCTTATATAAAGCAAAGCACTCCCGAGGACACATGGAAATTACTGTCGAGCTAGTTTTCATCATGCTCATATGATTCGCGTTCGTTACTTTGATAATTTGATATGTGGGTGGACCGGTGTTTGGGTGTTGCCCTTCCTTGGACAAGCCTCCCACTTATGATTAACTCCTCTCACAAGCATCCGCAACTACGAAAGAAGAATTAAGATAAATCTAACCATAACATGAAATATATGGATCTAAATCAGCCCCTTACGAAGCAATGCATAAACTAGGGTTTAAGCTTTTGTCACTCTAGCAACCCATCATCTACTTATTACTTCCCAATGCTCTCCCCTAGGCCCAAATCATGGTGAAGTGTCATGTAGTTGACGTTCACATAACACCACTAGAGGAGAGACAACACATATCTCATCAAAATATCGAACGAATACCAATTTCACATGATTACTTATAACAAGACTTCTCCCATGTCCTCGGGAACAAACGTAACTACTCACAAAGTATATTCATGTTCATAATTAGATGAGTATTTAATAGCATTAAGGATCTGAACATATGATCTTCCACCGAATAAACCAACTAGCATCAACTACAAGGAGTAATCAACACTACTAGCAACCCACGGGTACTAATCTGAGGTTTTGAGACAAAGATCGGATACAAGAGATGAACTAGGGTTTGAGAGGAAATGGTGCTGGTGAAGATGTTGATGGAGATTGACCCCCTCTCGATGAGAGGATCGTTGGTGATGACGATGGTTTCGATTTCCACCTCCAGGAGGGAAGTTTCCCTGGTAGAACAGCTCCGCCGGAGTCCTAGATTGGTTCTGCCCAAGTTCCGCCTCAAGACGGCGGCGCTTTGTCCCGAAAGCTTCCTTCTGATTTTTTTCAGGTCAAAACACACCATATAGCAGAAGATGGGCACCGGAGGCCTACCAGGGGGCCCATAAGGTAGGGGGTGCGCCCAGGGGGTAGGGCTCCCCCCCCACCCTTGTGGATGGCTAGTGTCCCCCCTCTGGTGCTTTCTTCGCCCAATATTTTTTATATATTCCAAAATAATTTCCCGTGAAGTTTTAGGACTTTTGGAGTTATGCAGAATAGGTCTCTAATATTTGCTCCTTTTCCAGTCCAGAATTCCAGCTGCCAGCATTCTCCCTCTTCATGTAAACCTTGTAAAATAAGAGAGAAAAGGCATAAGTATTTTAATATAATGTGTAATAACAGCCCATAATGCAATAAATATCAATATGAAAGCATGATTGTGACGCCCCCAATTCAATCATACACTAATCATGCACGCAATGTGTACGATCAAGATCAAGGACTCACGGGAAGATATCACAACACAACTCTAAAACATAAATAAGTCATACAAGCATCATAATACAAGCCAGGGGCCTCGAGGGCTCGAATACAAGTGCTCGATCATAGACGAGTCAGCGGAAGCAACAATATCCGAGTACAGACATAAGTTAAACAAGTTTGCCTTAAGAAGGCTAGCACAAACTGGGATACAGATCGAAAGAGGCGCAGGCCTCCTGCCTGGGATCCTCCTAACTACTCCTGGTCGTCGTCAGCGGGCTGCACGTAGTAGTAGGCACCTCCGGTGTAGTAGGGATCGTCGTCGACGGTGGCGTCTGGCTCCTGGACTCCAGCATCTGGTTGCGACAACCAGAAAGAAAGAAAAGGGGGGAAAAGGGGGGAGAAAGCAACCGTGAGTACTCATCCAAAGTACTCGCAAGCAAGGAACTACACTACATATGCATGGGTATATGTGTAAGGAGGCCATATCGGTGGACTGAACTGCAGAATGCCAGAATAAAAGGGGGATAGCTAGTCCTATCGAAGACTACGCTTCTGGCAGCCTCCGTCTCGCAGCACGTAGAAGAGAGTAGATTGAAGTCCTCCAAGTAGCATCTCCAAGTAGCATCTCCAAGTAGCATCTCCAGTAGCATCGCATAGCATAATCCTACCCGGCGATCCCCTCCTCATATCCCTGAGGGAGAGCGACCACTGGTTATATCTAGCACTTGGAAGGGTGTGTTTTATTAAGTATCCGGTTCTAGTTGTCATAAGGTCAAGGTACAACTCCAAGTCGTCCTGTTACCGAAGATCACGGCTATTCGAATAGATTAACTTCCCTGCAGGGGTGCACCACATAACCCAACACGCTCGATCCCATTTGGCCGGACACACTTTCCTGGGTCATGCCCGGCCTCGGAAGATCAACACGTCGTAGCCCCACCTAGGCACAACAAAGAGGTCAGCATGCCGGTCTAAACCTAAGCGCACAGGGGTCTGGGCCCATCGCCCTTAGCACACCTGCACGTTGCGTACGCGGCCGGTGAGCAAACCTAGCAACCTTCATTACAAAGGAAGTTGCGTTAACGCAGTCCAACCCG